TGATTTACTCCCTGGAGAAAGTAATTCGTTGCACTGAAAAAGGTCCTGAAAGGCACACATGAAACGTCTCATGTTAAGAATGTAAAACCTGCACAAAGACGGAGTGAGTGACTGCGCATCAGTTTGTTACCTGTTGAAGTTCAGGGTCTTTGTGCTGGTCTGGGGTCAGCATTCACTCAGCTTTTACTCTGGGTTCTTGGCTAGCTTAGCATTAGCGTGCTGGCTGTGCTTGCAAAGAGCTGAAATATGTTAGCAGCATAATGTCGTTGCTTCTGTCCTGTATGCAGTCTGCACTTCACCACCGTGCACTCGTCCTTTTGTACAATAAAAGTTTGTTTGAAAGATTTTTTTCTCCTTGGACAACAAAATGATTAGATACAACTTCCTTGCTCACTTGGTCTCATCGTCATCATCGATCATTCCAATCCTGGAAAATGTTCTGCTTATAGCAGATCATAAAAATGAAGGAAAATTATCTAAATGTTTAAAAACAAAGTGTTTGAACTTAAAGCTTTCTTTGGTGGGTTTACTTTGATACAGTGAAGTGTGCAAATCTTTGCTGTGTGTTGCTATCAAACCTGCGTGAAGGTGAAATTGCAGATTGGAGAACGAGGCCTTAATGATGCGTGTGTGGGAAATATCCCAAGAACATTAGCATGATAGTGTTGCAAGATTATGCCCTAAAGTGAGAATTCCTGTCTGCTTGTGTAACAAGTTGGATGTATCATCCCAACATAATATTGATACACTTAGGAACAACAGTGTTGCTACAGTTAGAATGGCATGTACCCTGCATTTGAACAACCTGTGTAGCTTTAATAAAGCTGGAGCACATGTGATTAAACCTGGGACATGCAAGGTCATTCGTATACAAGCATGCAGGAGTCCCATAAATAGGATACTGCCATTATTTAAGATCGTACACTGCTTGCTTTGATTTTGAATACCAGCAGAAACCACCTATTTTTCTTTCTTGAATTTGGTTCATATCATTTATGAGTAATGATATAAGTATTGGTGCTTTCTAAAGAGAAGCATTCGCTAACCACGTAATCGAACGTCTGAGTGAAAAGTAGCCTATGCTGTAGTTTGTCATCATGAAAGGTTGGTGGTTTTATGAGTTCATCCTCTCTCTCTCCTTCCCTCTCTCCTTACAGAGTTCCAGCAAATGATGATGTCATACTTATCAGCTGACGGCTGCCCCGCCTCTGGATGAGACAGTTTAGGGAGGAAAATGCTGGGAACAATACGTCACATGTCTGAGACAAACTTCTCAACACTGAAACTGAAAAAATCCTGGTGAATGTAGATTTACACGTGTAACATCCCGTCAGGTGCGATAAGAAAGACCAAATGAGTTTCCTCCACTGAACGGGAGTCAGGAGCTCCAGATGCGGAGCTGGAACTGGGACTAAGAAGAAGTGGTTGCTTGGATTAATTGTATATGTTTAAAATACTGCTTAGATGTTTATTTGGCCAAAGAGTTTGGTCGAGTGCTGTTGGGGAATGTACAACATTAAAGTTAATTTATTAAGTGTTGAAGTAAAGGTTGCAGCAAGGCTAATCTTCCCATTTGTCCCTTTTTTTTTATTTAAATGTAATCATGTCACTGGTGGGAGTGGGAGGATGAGTTTTCTTTGAAGTGCACAAACATGTTTCCAGCTGAGTTGTGATTAAGACTAGTTTTGAATGAACCACAACGATGAGTCAGCAGGAACCAGCAGGTTAAAGTTAAAGACAAGCTGGAGCATGACTTCTGTTGCAGAGCTGTGCTCCTAGTTTGATCAAAGCATCACATTTCTCTCACATTTTCTCAGCTACGTTGGCCAATAGGTTGCCTTTTATTTAAGTATTTATTTATTTATTTAAGTATTTTATCATTCAGCTGTTTAAAATCTTCAAAGCTAGTTTACAAATGAGGTAAAGAAGATATCTGCAGACTATTAAACGTGCCTGGATCATGAAGTTACAGACCCCTGGACAAAAATGTTTGATGAGCCCTCGCTCATTTTTGTTTTGTGTTTTTTATTTCCTCCTCTCCCCCTCCTCTTCCCCTTTCTTCAGTAATCGGATGCATCATACAGGAATGTGTGCATATATGTACACAGAACAGTTTTGAAATAGAGAGCACTACACCTTTTAGTGAAGAAATATCAAAATACAAGTTTTGTAAAAGCTGTATCATCCTTACACTAAATGAAACAGCCAGAGATTGTTTTAAAAAATGATGCTATGTTTTCGTGCACAAGCAGCTGTTATCATCTTCGTCTTGGTTTCTGCCCCCAACGCACCACAACCCTCGAGATTCTTGCCAATCTCGGTCATGGATGACTGTTCATTGTTGTAGGGGAGAGATTTCTTGGGAAAAGGCACGTTTGGCATGTGTCCACTGAAAAAGGACCTTTTTTTTTTTTTTCTTTGATGGGAAAAAATCCTGCAGGTAAAACAAAACTATTCCCTGGATGCTAAAAGTTTCAGGTCATCAATCCATTGTGATTAGCTTGCATGTCATCTAACTGGCATCTCAATAACTTCACTGCAAGGTTTTCATCCAGAATGATTTACAAAAATGAGTCAGGAACACATTTCCTCTATTGTGCCCATGGATTTGGGAGTACCTAGTCCACAAGATGTCTAACTTTGGGAGAGCCTAGTAGCATCGGCATTGTAGGGGAGAAAAGGGGCAGGAAAAATACATACTACTATATTTTACCAATCATGCCATCCTGGTATGATATAAACAAGACAATATGGGTTAAAAATCTAATGTCTAAGTTGATACAGTTTGGTATTTCTTTTATACGCCTCTTGGTTGGAGCCCCATCTCTA